AGCATAGTTTCAATCTTTCCCCCAAATATACTACTGATACCTATTTTGTTCCACATAATTTGATGGATTCTGAAGATACAGAGATGAGTGAAATCTATCCTTGCCTTTCAGGAGCTCATCGCCATAGGCAAGAGTAATCTCTGAGCTTTAATTTTACATACCTAATTTTTAACAAATTGAGCATCAACTATGTACATATATATTCTATTGTAATTAACATGTTAAATAATTAAATATTAGGCACACTTAACTTCTTATTTTTAGATGAAGATGAATCCAAATGGTGGTTCAAGTTTGTCCTTTGTTCACTCTAGTGGACTCTCTTGGGTGCTTCCTGGAGTGCTTCCTCAGACTAGAACCCTACCCCCTTGGTATGTGCTGGGCTCTCTTCCTTCCTTCTGCAGCTTTCTGTCAAACGCCAGGCTTTTGGGGAGGCCGGTCCTGACCCCTTGCTGTTTCCTCTCCTTTTTATCTGCTCCTGTCTGAGGTCTCTTTTCCTATTTATTTGTTGTTTTTTTCTCCCTCCATCATCTTCTGTCCCCGTATCATGTGTTGATTTTCATATACTACATCTCGCTTTATAGGAAATATGTTTACTGTTTTTTTAATTTTTGGTTTAGTTTCTCTCTCCCTGCCCCAGAATGTAAGCTTCAAGTGGGGAAGAGAGGAGTTCTTGACACTCCTCACTGCCTGAGAAATGGTTGGGGATGGAGGGGAGGAAGAAAGCTTTGCCCAGTACATCCTGAAACCCCCGGGGGGGGGTGGGGAGTGGGGGAAGGTGGGAGTGGAGGGAAGATCAGGGAAGTTCATTTATTTTATGAACTTGAAGTTGGGTTAAACCCTACTTTATCCTGTGATTTTGGTTGTTAATCTCAACCCGAAACCCTCATCACTAGTCATCCACTTCTTACAAGCTTTGTGACCTTGAATGAAGGTTTGTTACCGTCTTTCTTTGCATCTCAGTTTCCTTTTGTATGAAATTTAAATTTTGTCAGCCTAAAATGTGGGGACATAAGGCATCAGTCCCGTAAGGGTAAAGAAAACATTTGTGGATTTATAAGATTTCAGAAATTATATTCTTGTGAGGGTCAAAGAAAGATATTTGTGGATTTGGGAGTCTTCAGATATTATATCATTATATCAGTAGCATATTTACATGCAGAAAATATTGGAGAAAGAATTTTAGCTAATCAAATAGGAACAGAGATCTCAGATAGGAGCAGATAAAAAGGAGAGGAAACAGTGGTAGCAAAAACTTCTGGCAAATTTTATGTAGAGAGTTAATTCTAAATGTACAATGATAGGCTCTCTGGGAATGTGCAATAAAAATTTTAAAGAAGGATTCTTTAAATAGATGTGACACACTGCAAGGGAAATTCTATGACATCTGGAACTAAAACACCTAGGGACTGGGCTCTGTGGGATGAGGGGTAGAGGAATAAAAGCATTTTGTCTCACTTAGCACAATCATTTGGACGTGAGGAGGAAGCAGAATGGGGAAATGAATCTATTGGAAGATATCTTATTGCAGTACAGGAGGAAACAGAGAATAGCTGGTACTTTATTTTATATGATAGTAAAGAAACTCGTATTCTGTTATGAGCACTAGAAAAAAATACTAATGATTGAATAAAAAGCTAATAAGGGAATATGATGAATGAGTAGGTTAGTAAGAGAACTTAATGAATGAATAAGTGAACTAATAAGAGTCCATAGTGGAGGCAATTTCCCCTTTTAAAAAACATTATCTTTTGAATATACACAAGATATACTTTTCAAAAGAAAAAAAATGTATATGGGGAAAACATTTTCACTCATTCTCTAGACACTAAGTACTTTTCCAGAGATAATCTATGACTACACAAGCATAATAATTCCTTTTCAATATATTTTCCCATCAACTGAGAAGTTCAGTGTTTGTAATTGTAATAAGAAGAGTGCTAATCTGGCCTGAAATGAAAAGTTTTACCTTATATGTCTCATAAATAGTTTTTAGTAAATCAAGGAATATGCTTATAAAGGGATTACCAAGGCCCTACAACACATGAGTTTGGGGCCACAGGGAGATTAAGATTTAGAATAAAGTTAGGTGAGATCTAAGGCCACAGGATAGCAGGAGGGTTTGTGTGTGTGTGTGCGTGTGTGTATGTGTGTTGAGTGGGGCAGGTGGGAGCCTTTGAAGATTGCCTGTAGGCTGCTAGTGAGGTGTCATGTAGGCCTTGGTAGGCCGTTGGGAAGACACACGGTTCTGAAATGTTGGCACTCTTATAGGTTTTTAAATATCTTTGTTATCCCCAAGGGTGACACTGGACATCATTACTAAAATTTAAAAATTTTGCCCCTAGGCACACAGGTTACCCTTCTTGTGCTGGCATGGCAAGTCTTGATTTGCAAGATTTTCTTTTGGACTGTCCCAAATTCTTCCCTTTAAAAATAGGAGCTCCTTCAGGGTGAGGAAGGAAGGAGGAAATCATCCCTTCTACCTACTTTCTCTTCTTCATTCCAAGGACTGTAGAAAGGCACATCAGGTTTGGTTTTGAAATCTGTGGAATTTTAGTGCTGTCCATTCGCCGGAGTGGATGCCTTTAGTGAAGATAAAAAGGAAAGACTGTTTGCTATGTCAAGGGAAAATTCATATGCAAATCCCAAGACTCAGATGTTATTTTAGAGGAGTTGGTGTCCATTGTAAATTAGAACAGCCCTGGTTCATTTGCCCACAAGGGCAACTAACTGTATGAGGCCAATATGAGGGAACTGGCAGAATAGGAGGGATGGAATCTTCCTGAGAGAAAGAATAAGGAGAATTCTGGGTGCAGAGGAGATCAAGGTGTGGACCAAGCACATATCTGTCTTCTTAGCTCCTGTGAAATGTTGGAAAAGTCTTTAGAACAAACAATAAATATGTCATAGCGGGAAAACAAAGAGCAGTCTTTAGGTCAGAAATAGAAACTGTTAAAAAAAAAAAGAAAAAAAAGAAAAACCTTTAAGTTTGAAAACGACAGTCGGGGCGCAGTGGCTCACGCCTGTAATCTCTGCACTTTGGGAGGCCAAGGTAGGCAGATCACAAGGCCAGGGGATCGAGATCAGCCTGGATAACACAGTGAAACCCTGTCTCTACTAAAAATACAAAAAATTAGCTAGGCGTGGTGGCACGCACCTGTAGTCCCAGCTACTCGGGAAGCTGAGGCAGGTGAATTGCTTGATCCCAGGAGGTGGAGGTTGCAGTGAGCCAAGATTGCGCCACTGCACTCCAGCCTGGCAACTGAGCGAGGTTCTGTCTTTAAAAAAAAATTTGAATATGACAGAAAAAGTGGAAAGTTGCCTGGGATATGCTTTAACTGCAGTCTTTCTAATAAACCTGTCCCCACTCCATGTTCACATCTTTGCTTGTCCTAAGCAGCATGGGACTCAGGCCAAAGTGGTCATTTTTGGCACTTGGGCTAGAGATGGCAGTGAAGCAGCATCATTTGACTGGGGAAATGCCAGATGTTTGTTGTCTCACACTAAGGAAATTGAAGATGTGAACACAAAAGGAGTGGGTTTAAGAGAGGAAGTTTAATCGGCAAAAGAAAGAAGAGAGAGCTTCCTCATGTGGAGGAAGGGTGCTTGAGTGGGTTTCTGGGTTTGGGGTGAGATGCGGTTGGTTTATAGATGAGCTTGAGGAGGCAGTGTCTGATTTACATAGGGCTCAGAGGATTGGTTGGACCAGGTGTGCTATTTACATGATGCATAAAGAGGCTGGCCATCCACCCTAACCTTTTATTATTCAGATTGAGTCTCTCCCTGGCTGGTGCCATGTTGCTTGCACATGTGAAGACAAAGAAAAGAGGTAACATCCATGTTGAATATGCCTGGCTTCCAGGTATCCCTTTTCTATTGGCATAGGTGCCAGCACTCATGTATGCAAGCTTTTAGCTTGCTTATCTATCCTTGCAGCTTGGTATTTTTTGTTAGAAAAGAAATTATATGGGGCTGTTCTTTTTTTAATAAAAAGAAAAACCTTAACGAGGAATCTCTTACCTAACTGCCTAAATAATTTCTTTTTAGCTCCTATTATCAGCAGTGCCTGCCCCTGATAGGTGATGGTCATGAGGGGACCAAGAGCCTCTAAACTTAGAGACAAGTTGCCAGCACTTTCTAGATGGATTGTTTCCCTCCCCAGCAACACCTGCTGGTCAGTTTGACAAACAGAGGAACACAAGTTCTCAAATATACAATAAGCAGATAACCCCAACATCACCAAAAATATAAAGTTGTGATGGCATTTTGTCAAATTGTCTTTACTTTTTATCTGCATCATCTATTGCTTTCTGAGGGAAGTGTTCTGAGTTCCCACTGTGACTGTGGATTTGCCGATTTCCTTTTGTATGACTGTCAGCTTTTGCCATACATTATTTTGTAGTTGTATTGTGTTATGTTGTGAGGAAGATTCATGACCTATCTTGTGGGAGAATTCTGTATTTAGCAGATGTTCATCTTAAGTTCTATTTTGCCTCGTATTGATATTATTACTTTGCTTTTCAGTTTAACATTGATTTAGTATATCTTTTTTCTTTTTTTTTAACCCTTATATGTTGTTTATTTCAGAGATGGTTTCTTATGACTGACTGTGACCCCCAAATTCATATGTTGAAGCCTCAACTCTCTGTATTTGGAGGTGGGCCTTTGAGAAGTAATTGAAATCCTGAGGGTATAGCCCCCATGATGGAATTAAGTCCTTCTTAGAAAAGGAACAGAGTCTGAGCTCTCCTCTCTCTCCACCATGTGAGGGCAGAGAGAAAAAGCAGCGATCAACAAGCTGAGAGAAGAGGACTGAGAATGAACTTTACCTTGCCAGAGCCTAGTCATATCCCTTCCCAGTTTCAGGAAGAGTGAGACATCAATTTCTGTTGTATAAGCCACTCAGTCTATGATTTTTGCTATGGCAACCAGAGCAGATTCTTGGATTTTGTTTTGAACACAATATGAAAAACATATATTTTAATAAGAAAATTGCCCCATTCATTTTTATTGTGTTTATTGATAATTTCAGACTTATTTATGCCATACTTAAGAAATCCTTCTTCCTCTTTCTTACACTCTTTTGTTGTTTCTTTAATCCAAGTGCATGATAATGTTTGGAAATCACTCTCTTAACAGGGCCACAAAGGGCTAGATAAGGGAATCTGGCTTGCATTTACGGAAGGGGCAGAGAAGGGAAGCTGCGCTAAGATGACCTGAGCCCCAGATCCTGGTTAAACATCCTCTTCTGGATATAGGACCAGCCGGAGGCACGATTTTTAGATAGGCAACTTTTATTTGCTTTGTCTTCTTTCATCATCTGTGTTGGCTTTTGCATCTTGAGTGCCAAAATATAGCTGTTTTCATATTACCCCAAGTTCCTGAGTTTATTTTTTATGTAAGAATTTTCCACCCTTTGAAATCCCAAAGGAAATGTTTCCCTTCTTTCTCAGACCATGCTTTCATTTCAGTCAATGTAACAAATCACCCAGGTCTTAGGAGTTTAGAAATCTGATTGGATTCGTTCATACTAAGCGATAACAGATCTACCACAGCCTTCTAAGATGAACTGGAGTTTTTTTAAAAAGCTCCATGACCTGTATAATTCTTTAATTACTGGAATTGCACAGTTTAAAATTGCATCAAATATAAACATTCAATTTTGTGGAGTTTTATTTTTTATGGAGAGATGAGGATAGGTGTTGGTTAATACTGATAGACTTTACTCTTAAAGCCAATTCTATTAAGATTTCTTTTTTAAATCTAGACTATCAGAAAAAATGAAAATGTCTTATTTATTTTTGCTATAGCTTCAATGTTCATAGTAGTCCAAGTTCCAATGTCAGGATGGCAGAGGGGAGCCAAAAGAGGCCACATTTTGTTCATGAAGTGTATTTTTTTTTTTAATATCGAGGATTTTGTAATGCAAGTGTTCAATTAGAAAGTTCTTATGATAGTGCATGGCACGTGTCCTTTCCATCATCTGGATTTTTCTGCTTTTTTTTGTCTGGCTCACTCCTACTCACTCTCCAGTCCTCGTCTTAGTGGTCACTTCTCCCTGGAATACCCCTGACCCCTGACCATACCCTTAAGATAGCCGTGGTACAAACACCAAAGGCTGCAGGCAACACTTTGCCCTATGCTGTGCTTCCCTAATGATGAGGAAGTGAGAAAGGAGGCACAACAAATGTCATTTCCGTAGCAGAGGCCTCAAGTGCAGCAGACTTGATTCTCTGGATTTCCTTTTCTGCATAACAATGATGAAAGGTAGCCTAGGAAAGCCATTTGTCTTAGGCTTCACCTTTTATACCTTTCTAGTCACTAAACTAAGAGACTGATTCCATTCTTTAGTGTAGCCATTGCCTCATAAATCCATAAATAGCAGGGGTATTTATTTACAATAAAGTATCCATGTAGATTAGGAATATTCTATTAACCAATTTTATTAAAGTCCTCTATTTATCTTCTAGATAGTAGATTCTATCAATCAAGTTTCATGAAGAGTTCTAATTCCCAGAGGTAAGAACTGAGCCTGGCTTTCTAGTTACATGTTTGCTGGTAACGCCATCCTTCCTTACAACACTTATGCATATTTGAAGACTATACCCATCCCTGCCTCTTGCTTGGATTGTAAGCTCTTCAAGAGTATGGCAGTGTCTTTTAACATCAGTTCTCAATGTGAGAAGAGCTCCTGGCACATCGTAAATACCCAACAAACATTTGTAAGTGAAGAAAGCTATTCTGTGGTGTCTGCTTTAATATTACGAGATGACTTTCCCAAGATTGCTAAGCAGCTTCATTGTCTAAAATGGAACTAGATTCTGTGGGTAGCAGGTCCATTGGTGCCACTCACAGGCGGCCTCAAAGAAACCATTGTGCCTCACAGATCTAAGGGAGTCTTCATTAAATTCCAGCACAGAGAGGTAAAATGGAATATTATTCTGACGCAGATATTTCATGAATTGCACCATCGCCTGTCTCATCTTGCCTCTCTTTCGGTATCTTTCCATGCTGTAGGCCATTCCTATTTCACAAGAAGGGTCCATGGTTACCCATGAGACCGGGACACCCTCTGGGCCCAGCAGACAGGCTGTTGGCAGGGCTTCTATGCAGCGCTTGATATAATGCAGGCTCCTTTCATTCTTCCCTCGCCTCCACTTGTCATTTACCAGCCCAGAAAAAGAGACATCCAGCTGAGCATACTTAAAATTGGGAGTTTCGCTGTAGAAAACAAAAAGAAAGACAAAAACTCTCATCCCCACTCCTGCAATTTCTGGGTGCCATCCTATTCTAGAGATCCCAGGCACTCTTCTTGTTTCAAGACCCACCATTGCAAAGTTGTGAATTTTGACCATTGAAAACCTTTATTCATCCCAAGGTATGAATTCATCTTGTCTTCACTCCAAAACTGATTTATGTGAATTACAAAAATGTACAAGGAAGAGCAATTACAAATGATCAGCACATGTATTTTGTACCTCTCAAATTCAACATCTGGGTGGCCTGTCTCAGCCCAGCTTCCAAACTTGCTTTTATTGGAGGCATTGAGGTTCAGGATATCTTCTGTAATAAAGAGGATTGCTCTCGAATGCTCTACCTTCACTGACTTTGAAAATGCAGCCACTCTTATCCCCTCACCTAAACTTTCTTGAAAACCTGGGAAGAAATACAATAAAGCAGTATTGTCAGACATGGAGTTTTCTATCTACACTGCTCCCACCTGATTAATACCTCAATGCTTAGTAGTTTACAAACTTGAGTTTACCCCACAATCAGCTAAAGTCCTTGTCACAGCACAGATTGCTCTACCTCTCCCAGCCCCCAGAGTCTCTGTGAATTTACATTTCTAATGAATTCTCAGGTGATGCTAATGCTATTAGTTGAAGACTCAATTTGAGAAGCATTGCTGCTTGCCCATTTCTTCAGACTTCTTACCTTGGATTTGTAGTATCTGTTTCCAGTTTATGATCTCACAGTTTTTCAAAACTTCTTGTGATTTTTGAGGCTCTTTGGAGAATATACGATATACATTTGTGTATAAATCCATGTCATCAGTCATCTCCTGTATAGGATGATGAAAGTTCAGGTCATTCCTTTGAACTTTTTCTACACCTCTCACTGATGGCAATTATTAGAAAAATGAAAATTCAAAGGATAATTTTAACAGTGGCCCACAATGGCTGCTGTTGGGCACGTGGATAATAAAACCTAGGCCTATAAGCTACTGCCGACCTCTTGCCTGTGTAACTGGAGGTTGTTAAATATTTCATTGACAGGTACTGGCTATAAACCTGGTTATCAGATACAGAACAAAGACAGGATGAAATCAGTCACTCTCCACCAGGCCTTAAGATGCCTCACCTTTCTCCCTACCAACTCAACTGCACACTTACCTTATCCTATTTATAGCATCACCAAGCACCCAGCAGAATCAAAAGAATGCAACAGTTGCTTTTCTCCCTGCTTCTCTCACCTCCTGTGCCACACATATCCCTTTGTTACATATACTGTGCCCCATGTAACGTGTGGGACACATTCTCGATTCTACTGAGTCTGTGTTGCTAGGATTAAGTCCTTAAACTTGAACAAATTCAACTGTGATTTCTGTAAGTTTTAGTGCCTACTGTTTCATCAGACACCTAGAATCTATAGTATCTTAGAATATACAATGTCCAGGGCTTGGGCAAGATACTTTAGTGAATATAAACATTAACGAGACATTGCCTTTTCCCAAGGATATAGGATATCAGCCTATTTGAAGAGTGACGCTCTCTTTACAGCCAGAAGCCCACAAAATAGAATGAGGTAACTGAATTTTTGGTAGCACTCTGGGTAATTTATGTGGTGTTAGACTCATGGGTTTGAAAGAAAGAGACTTGTGATCCCATTCTGACAAGCCACAAACTTCAGGGGAAGATGAGCACCTGTTTCTGAGGGGAAATATAAACAATAACTGTGAGACTTTTAGCAGTGAATGTATTAATAGTATGTTGGAAGCTGTATTGTTAAGGAGTAAAACAGAAAATAATGTGATTAATTTTAAAGAAACCTTCAAGCATTTGGAGGTGCTTTTATAAATGCAAGTTCCTGAATATGGCCAAAACCAAAACCTCAGTAAATTTAAAATAATAGATGTTTTAAAAGACCCAATTTTAAAAGAATGACCAAAAATAGGCAAGTACATATCCAAAGAATTATAAAAATATTAGTAAACTACAATAAAACAAATGGAACAATTTATAAAAATGAAAGTTATAAATAATGAAATGGAGAACAAGATTTAGTGCAAAGGCTACATAAAGCCAAAAGTTCATTTTTAAATGGCAAAAAGAGAGAGAAAGAAGAAGAAAGAGAGAGATAAACTGCTGGTAAGTCTTTTTAAGGAAATACAAGAGGAAGAGAAAAAAACAAACAAAAAGCATAGAGTATGAGAAATGAGAATGGAAACAGAGAAACAGAGAAAAGAACAAAAGAAGTATAATAGAAGGTTATATGCTACCCCAAGGCAACATATTTACTGATAAAATAAATGAATGTTATCCCTCAAGAATAAACTATCAAAATTGACTTTCAAAAACTAGAAAACCTCAACAAACTAATAGAAAATGTCAGAATGAAATTAAACATATAGCATTTAAAAAGTAGACAAGGATTATGGCAACATATCCATGTTGCTACAAAGGACATGATTTTCCAGGTTTATCCATGTCCCTTCAAAGGACACGAACTCATTGCTTTTGATGGCTGCATAATATTCCATGATGTATATGTGCCACATTTTCCCTGTCTAGTCTATCATTGATGGTCATTTCAGTTGATTCCAGGTCTTTGCTATTGTAAACAGTGCTGCAATGAACCTGGAAACCATCATTCTCAGCAAACTGACACAAAAACAGAAAATCAAACACTGCATGTTCTCACTCATAGGTGGGTGTTGAACAATGAGAACACATGGACACAGGGAGGGGAGCATCACACACTGGGGTCTGTTGGAGGGAAATAGGGGAGGGACAGTGTGGGGTGGGGAGTTGGGGAGAGACAGAATGGGGAGAAATGCCAGATATAGGTGATGGGGAGGAAGGCAGCAAATCACACTGCCATGTGTGTACCTATGCAACAATCTTGCATGTTCTTCACATGTACCCCAAAACCTAAAATGCAATTAAAAAACAAAACAGTTAAAAGAAAAAAAAAGATTAAAAAAACAAAGGACATGATTTTATTCTTTTCTGTTTGCAGGGCGGTATTCCATAGGAACATATGTACTACGTTTCTTCATCCAATCTACCATTGATGGGCACCTGGGTTGATTCCATGTCTTGGTTATTGTAAACAGCATAGCAATGAGCACACAGTGCATGTGTCATTTTGGTAGAATGATTCATTTTCTTTTGGATATTTATCTAGTAAAGGCATTTCTGGGTCAAATGGTAACTCTGTTTTAAGTTCTCTAAGAAATTTCCAGACTACTTTCCACAGTGCAATAATCCTAAGCAAATTAATGCTGGAACAGGGAACCTATCACATGTTCTCACTCATAACTGGGGCTAAGCATTGAGCACACATGGGCATAAATGTAGGAAAAACAGACACTGTAGACTACTAGAGGAAAAGGGGCTGGGTTAGAAAACTACTTATTGGGTACTATGCTCACTACCAGGGTGGTGGGATCTGTCTGTACTCCAAGACTCAGCATCATGCAATATTCCCATGTAACAAATCTGTACATGTACCCCCGTATCTAAAAGGAAAGTTGAAATAAAAAAAAAATAAAAAGTAGCCAAAATAAGATTATTTTACATTTAAGTTATACCTAAGCCAAAAACAAACACATAATGTTAATAGTAGACTTTGGTAATAGATGAAAAGCTCCCAATGCCAAATCTGGTAAAGAAATAACAAAAAGAGAGTCATTAACCATATTCCCTTATGAAGACAGATGTAACAATTCTGAATAAAATATTCAGTAATATATCAAAAGAATGTGAACATGAACAGCTTGTTTTAGAAAGGCCAGAATGGCTTTGATTGGAAGACCTTTTAGTGTAATAAACTAAAGGAGGGAAAATTACATATGAGTATATAAATTGCAAAAAAGAAAAGAAAAAAATGAAATAACAAAATTTACCCTCCATTCTAAATATAAGTTCTGTGAAAGTAGAGACAACAGGAAAATGCTCTAAACTTGTAAAGACAGAATCAAATGTAATTCCAAATGTAAGCTGTTACAGCCATTTTATTAAAATCAGGAATGAGACAAGGATAGAAATATTATTGTTAGTTGGTATTGTTTACTTAGGTTGTACATTATGCAGTAAGGTAAGAAACTAAAAACTCATACAAATATTGGCAAAGAAGAAGCAAATTACTTTGTTTGTAGATTATGGTATTATGCATTTAGAAAATCCAAGAAACTTTGACAAAAACAAAAACAAATAACACCCCACACAAACAAACAGGATTTTAAAGAATAGTGTGAACATATTTGGAAATAAAGAATATAAATAAAAAGCAATAACAAAATAATAATGCTCAGAAATAGAAATGGAAAAATAATTCAATAGGCTTAACAAATAGTATAAAATACCTAAGGGCAAACTTAATGGAAAATCATGAGTTTACCACAGGAAAACACTAAAATTTTACCAGATGGCATAGAACAGAAACTGAAAAAGTTGAGAAAAGACCATATTTCTAAATGAAAAGATTTAGAATCCTTCCACAATTGTCTAAAAACAATTATCACAAAACATTAATCCTTCCACAATTGTCTAAAAAAGCCACTCCAATACCAATTACAATTACAATATTTAGTTGGGGTAGTTGGTGGGAAACTGGAAAAATTAGTCTATGTTCATATAGCTCTTAAGTCTATTAGAAATAGGAAAGTAAGAAAAAGTTTGGTGGAGGGTGATTTGCTTTATTAGATATTAAAATTTGCCACAAAACCACTGAAATAGCATAAGAAAAGACTAGAAAGAAATACTGAAATAGATATGAAAATATATAAACATGTTATATGACAAAATAGACATTTATGTTTCAGTAGTGGAAAGACTTATTTCTTAAATAATGCTAACATAATTAGCCAGGCATAAGGAAGAAAAATATAAAAGAATGGTAATTCACGCTTTTCAAAAATATATTTCAAATAGAACTAGATTGAAATATCAAAAGTAAAAATTAACTTACTGTAAGACAAAATAAGAAAACATTTGTATGATCTTGGAGTAGGAAAAATCTTCCTAATTATTAATAAAAAAGCAACAAAACCATAGTGAAAAAGATAATATATTTGATTAGTTTGATTACATTGAAATTAAAATTTTCTTCATGTCAAAATCTCCATCAATAAAGTAAAAAATAATTCTAAATTGGGCAACAAATTTGTAGCATACATGTTGTATTAGTATTCCTAGTATCCAAAACACTTACAGAACTTTAAGAATGACACAAAACTCCAGTGTAAAAATGGTCAAACAATATAAAGAGTTTAGAAGTAAACCCCAAATGACTAATAAACACATGAAAATATAATATGTTCAATATCACTAGTCAGGGAAATGCAAAGTAAATCTACAATAAGATGCCATTTTTCACCCACCAGTTTGTCATAAATTAAAAGAGGGATAACATCCAGTGCTGGTGGGAATGTCATAAATTAAAAGAGGGATAACATCCAGTGCTGGTGGGAATATGGAATTCTTCCATATATTGCTAATAGAAATAAAATTGTAGAACCCTTTGGGAAGGCAATATGGAAATGCCTATTTAGAAAAAGATAAACTCTGACTTGGAGATATACCTTTTGGAAATCAATTGTATTGAGGAAAGTTTCCAGAATGTAAAAACATGTGTACAAAGATGTTTATTGAAGCATTGTTGGTAGTGGCAAAGTGCTATAAAAAATTTGAACCCAATAGCAGGAGAATGACTGACTAAATAGCACTGCATTGACTCTATGGAATACCACAGTTATTAAAATGAATATATTAGTATTGATTCAGCCAAAAGGATGTCCATATGTTAAAGGCAAATTAAAAAGTGATGACAGAAGAGATCATCA